ACTAACTCATTTTTTCCTTGTTTCAAGATCATCCTGGGTGGGCAAAGCCGAGTCTTGTCACTATCAACAAGGCATAAAAAGTAATAAGGACTATGATGTGTTCCTTTGATTACTGAACAATCCTGCTCCCTTAGTTTGAAGTAGTCAGGACTAGGAATCGGTGGTATATCTTACATCCCGTAACGGTGATCTACCCACGTTACGAGGAAGCAATACATACATACACTTTTTAAAATTAATGTAAATTTAGGTGCTCTGAAATTGACACATACGAGCGGCGTCAATTCTGACATAAAACTGAGTCATAATAGACGCGAAATTCAGCTCAATCAAACGTACTTTTCGTCAAGTACCGAACTTTTCAGTCTCGGATCATTTAATTTTACATGACACGTTTGTCTACTTCTCATCCGTTATGTCAAAGATGGATTCCGTCACGTGTTAAATTAGGTATTTCCAAGTGTGCAGTGTACCATTTTCCGAGTTAAAATCATCCCGGAATTAAGCGTGACAGGAAGAAAGACTAGAGGTATTCTACCCAGCATTCGGGCCAATTGACCTCTACCATCGATTTTTCTCGAAAAAAAAGTTCACCCTCGCAAACAAACTAAACATTTAGAAATAACATATTTTACACGTGACGGAATTCATCTTTGAAATAAAAGATGAGACGTAAACAAACATGTCATGTAATATTTAGTGCTCCGAGACTGAAAAGTTCGTTGCTCGACGAAAAGTACGATTGATTGAACTATATTTGGAGTCTGTTATGACTCAAATTTATGTCAAAATTGACGCTCGTATATTCACTCTCAGAGCACTTAAATTTACATGAATTTTTCTAAGTGTGCATAACAACTTGCTCATTTGCTTTTGCTGTAAGTTGCTGAAAGAAAATAATACAGGAATCCCCGATTCGGATGGTGCCGTCTACCCACCGCCAGTTCTAAAAAATAGTTTTACCAATTGAGCTGGTTTTTTTTTAAATTTAGCTACGGCCAACCACAAACTTGACACTCACAAAAAGTCAGCTCAATTGGTTGAAAGACTGTTGAGAAATGGCGGTGGGTAGATGGCACTAAACACTGCGCAAAGCGGGTATTCCTGTATTATTTTCCTTAAGCAACTTACAGCTAAGACAAAAAAAAAAGCGTGTACGGGAACAAACCTATTAAACCAATCTCATTATGTGGTTATCTTCTATTGACCTTTCTGACGTTTATAACACGCACACTTGCGTAGTCTCATTTTCAAGTGCGAAGTTGGTTATCCTCACTTTTACTCCAGCCAAAAATGTTGGTTTGTTATTGTTATCCTCACTTTTGGACCATCAATACTCGCGCCTGGTACCCCTACAGAATTGCGATTTAAGCTATTCAAACTAACGGGGTTGTACTGTATTTGCGTAGCGCTTAAGGTCATTGTTTACAAAAGCAGTTTAGCCGTATTGAATTGTTGATGCCGATTTGACCTTGAATCGGCATAACGCATTTTACCCTCCCAAGCTACACACAAGTTCTATAACAGGTTATATAACCTTTGTATGGCTGGTTGCAGTTGAAAAAAAGTTTAGTCAACATAATTCCAAGAATTTGTGTTACTTAGGCTTGTTTCACATACAAAAAAGTAGAAGGGTCTGAGCTGGGTGTTCAACACGGATGAGGCTGTCGAGCTGTATGTCGTTTGGAGCGAGGGTGACACGCTTGGCATAGATGACCGACCCGCAGCGACTCACGAAGAGCTACTGATTCCGATCCATAGCATAGCGGTGCAGCTTCTTCCTCCTTTGATGGTTGCTTATGTGGGTTCTGCAGCTCACTGCTTGCAGGTAGACTTTCGTTGTTACTGGAGAACAATTTTCAACGCCACACGCCGAAAGCACTGCTACTGCTGCTACTATTTTCGATGACCGAACACCACCACACAGTGGTGTGGTCGTTGGGAGCGTGTGGTTCTGAGTATGGCGATGAGTGTGTAAAATATTACGCAATTCCAGCCTCCCTATTCGCACGCGCCCGAGGATCGGAGGCGAATGCCACTTCGACTTGTTTCGTCTACTTACTACTCTCTGACGACTGTGCTGGGGAAGCAGCATATGCATGTAGGTATTGGTGGATTTGTTAGTTAATTCGACGCTTTTGGACAATGCTGGACATTTACCAGTTTTTCAATAGCTTCTTGTTGAAAATCAACATTTGAAAGCATTGTTATCGATGCGTAGCCATATTTCTGATGGATTGGTGATAAAATTATTGAAATTGGACCTGGGGCAACTGAGTTATTAACGTTCAAAATCTTTCTGAATTTGTTACAGGTTCCATTTTCGGTTTTCACAAAGTGTACCCCCATATAGAAATCAAAGACCTAGTCCTACGTCAAAAAATATAATAGGGGAGGAGCACCACTGATGACACTTACTAAAATTTGCTCTAGTACATTGGCGTGTACTTCAACAGTTGTTAGTTGAGAGCTTACTAAGCTTGTACCATTTTTGCATAGTGTTGCAAGTACAGGGTGAGGACATTCTATCCATGTTTTTTCTCTCAATGTATAGCTCCAATTTGAAAGATGCTGAAATGAGCACACCTCTACCAATTGAGACCTTGATACATAATAAACAAACGCTTGTAGTTTCGTTTGAATCGGTTCACGTGTATTTCCGTAATGAAGTACAGTAAACTACGAAGTGTGGTAATTAAGGTTAATAAACAAAGAGAATTCCTTGTCCGACTCGTATAGAAGAAACATTGCAAATGCCTTCGCAAATATGCTATGCTATAGAACGGTACCATCAACTCGGAAATTTGGAGGACCGTTCCGGAAGAGGCAGAAAAAGAATTGCGAGGATCCCTCAGAACCGGAACATACTTCGTCTTAGGATTAATCGAGATTCTAGACGGTCTATCCGAAAAATGGCGGAATCATTGAAAATCGACCCAAAGTCAGTACGAACTATTCTATGCAAGGATTTAGGATTGCATTCTTACAAATTTTCGAAGAACCAACCGGCATCGCACGATTTTATTCACCGATGAGAAGATTTTCACTGTTGAGCAATACCACAACCACCAAAACGATCGCCAGCTATTGCCAAAGGGTTCTTTTAACCGTACGAATGTTGCCAGATCCCATCATCCAGCTTCACTCCCTTAATATTTATCGAAAAAGGCGTCAAAATCAACCAATAGTCTACCAGAAGCTGCTGACCGACACAGGTGCACCTTGGGCACGTACGCATTTCGGTAACAACGATTGGACATTTCAACAGGATTGGACTCCATCGCATGGAGCGAAAAAGACGCTGGAGCTTTGTAGCCAACTTTTTCCTAGATATTTGACAAAAGATGAATGGCCTTCAAACGCTCCTGATTTAAATCCATTGGACTATTCCGTCTGGTCTATTCTTGAGTCCAGAGCCTGTACGAAGGCTCACATATCTTTAGATCATCTGAAAGCAAGTTTGACAAAAGTATGGGATGCAATATCTGTGGAACACGTCTATCGTCGATAATTTCCCTAACAGGTTGAAGGCGTGTGTACGAGTCAAAAGAGCACATTTGGAGAAATTGTTGTGAATATCATAAACTATGTTGGTGTACCTACATTTCCCATAAATATGTTACCTGTACAATCATTCTCTATGCCCAGGGAAGTCCTGAAATTACCAGACCGGACCGGGAATCGAACCCAGCCGCCTCCATTTTAGATGTGCCTTTACCGACAGAGTTAAGGGAGACCCCATAGCTGGTGCATATGCCATATCTGGTTCACTCACCCTACCATGTTTTTAGTTGTCTTCTTTGGTTATTTTTACATTTCTGTCGATGTTTCTCGTGCCCGGTCAAGGACAGTATCTGAATAAGATAAATCTTTAACAGCACATTAAAACAAAACATTATCGGAGAAGTAACGTATGCAATGCGAATCCCCCAAACTGTTATCAAGCAAGACATTTTTTTACGATGTGGATGTGGATATTTTTACGGATTTGTGCTCTTTGAAAAAGTAGTATAAAACCAGGTAAGAGACTTCCACGCCGATCAGTGTACTATCAGCGCTTTCTTGGAACCTAGAACGGAGCGCAATGTTCAGACTTTTAGCATTTTTAGTCCTTGCCATAGCGTTTTGCGGGGTAAGTGACATTTGCGATACAGTGTGCAATGTATCTGTGATGATTTTTTGATTTCCCCATTCCGATGTCCGAAGGCAAAATACAGCAAGCCCCAACAGGATGAGCTGGACACTACAGGATATTCGTGCCAACAGGAGCTGAACCTCCCTTTGTCCGTCGACTATCAGCTACGTGCGCAATCGGGAGATGTGACGTCCGATGATCCAATATACAAGGTTCGCATCCGTCGAAATAAACCAATTTTCAATATTTCATAGAAATACGTTGCCTGTTACATGCGCCAACTGGGCATCGTCGATGGTAAGGGCAAGATTAAGCCGCAAAAGTTGGTTAATTTTCTCACCGTAAGACACGATAAGAAGCTGCTGAAGGATGTGGTAGACACTTGTGCCGACACCGTGGAAGGAGAAACCCCCGACGATTTGGCCTTCAATTTCCACGTTTGCTTCTGGACTACGAAGCAGTTTGAAATGTAAAGAGTTATGTTGAAGAATAAATTCCAATGATTCTGTGGGCGACCGCGAAAAAAAAAACGTCCTGTCTGACCTCGCAAGAACAGCCTAACCTTGAACGCGAAAGCAAAACGAGTCTCTTTGAGCGCAAAATTTAAGTTCAGTGGCATAAACGAGGCGCGAAGAGTCAGTGCAAGAAGAAATCTGGATTTATCGGTCTCCGTTGGGCATAATCCTTTAGCATGCATTTACGTTTTCTTGTCGGTTGGGAAGCTGCAAAGAAGAGGATAACAAATGAAGTAAGAATTATTAATGTGCTCATGGTGATTCTTTTCGATTGAAGGTTTATGCGGAGGACGTTCTGAACCGGTCCGTTTTGGCACAGTATAAAAGTGGAAGCTGCCGGTATCAGGATCATCAGACGATAAGATTCCTTCCGACCGGTAACGTGATCCAAGTTTCAGAGTGAATATTTTTCAAGAAAAAAAAATGAAGTGCTTAGTGTTGATTTCGTTGCTGACTGTTGGAGCTCAGGTAAACCTAACTGAAATAATTAACCGAAATGCAAATGGCAACAATCAAGTACCCCTCCACGCAGGCTTTTTTCACCCCGAACCAACAAGAAGTGGCCAAAAAGCTGGCGATAGCCTGTTCGACCGAAATCGGCGAGGGACTGCCGGAGAATGTGGGTGACCGTTTCCGGGAGGGAGATCTCACGCTGACCGACGACAAGAGCAAGTGCTTCATGAAGTGCATCTTCGGTAAGGTGGGCTTCATCGACGATGCCGGCACGGTCAGCAAGGCGAAGCTGGTGGAGAAACTGAGCAAGGGCAACGGTCAGGAGAAGGCGGAGATGTTTGCCGAAAAGTGTAGCATGTTCGAGGGTGACAACGCGTGTGAAAAGGCGCACGGACTGTACGAGTGCTACTTCAAGAACAAGGAAGCTTACTTTTCGTAAGACCTTTGGATCAGTAAAAGGCGGTAGAACGGTATTGACGGGTGCACACATTTTGGAACAATTTAATAAATTTTAATGTTTTGTGAAAAAATGTTGCGCAGTTTACTTAATGGCCTAAATTCAACAGAAAAATGAGAATCGATCACAGGGATAACCACAGATCGCATAAGAATGTACAAACTAGATCGCATTTGCTTTTGCTATAAATTGAATTCCTTTTTGTTCCAATTTGAATAGTAAGTATTGCAAAACTGAGATCACAATGCGACTTTCTCAACTGAACTCTGAAAAGTAATGGTTTCACCACTTAATTGCGTGAAATCGTAAAATGCGATTATTTGTATATTTTTACAAATTACAAAAAAAAACCAAATTTTAGTGAAGTTTCAGTGGTTTAAAGATTCAAACGTTAACACAAACTAATACATCGAAATCTTTCTAAGTGCAGATCTAGAACAACATGTGAAAAGGGCCTATGTGCCACATACAAACAATGCCTTTAAACGTCAATTTCTCAAGGATGAAGACTTATTCAGGCAAACCAATAGCAGCATCTAGGAGAATAAGTTGGCTCTTTCAGATGGTGTAGGAGAGAACAGTCTATAATGCACTCTTGGCCTAAAATGGCCCTGCTTGGGTTTTCTTTGCTTTCCGGTTACTAATTCTGGGATTTTATGTGTTATATCTCAGCGTTGCCAGATATACCGATTTATCGGTATTTAAACCGATTTTCAAACTGTATACCGATGTACAGATAAGGTTTCTCTCTTTCATACTAATTTATACCGATTTTTTTTTTAATAATCAAAATGATTACTGCTCGCCCACGATAAAACTATTATGAGAGGCTTTTATCTTTTTAAAAATTCAAATTTTTGAGCCAGCTTTAAAAATATATTCTACTTTGAAAATGTCTAATGCTTGATACTCTTTCGACTAATGCTTCCATTTTCTCACCTTTTTTGGCTACCAAGGGGTCGAGAAGCAATTGATGGCGCATCCCGGTAATTCCTGGAAATCTGGAAATTCTTTTATTCAGTGAACAAATAAATCCATCAAAATGTTAATTTTTCAACTTCCTGAAATTTTTCTAATCTTCCCTTCGAAGTTTCTTCAAACTTTCCCTACACCCTTAGTTTTTTCTACTGGCTTCCCTTGAAAGATTCTTTCGTCTTCTCCCTTACCTTACCCATCACGCCTTGGTGTCCTCTGCTGTCCGAAGAAGTCGTCTCCACTCTACTCGATCTATGGCCACACGTCGCCAGCGTCGTAGTCTGCGAAGGTTCCATTAGCTTCAGGAAAACTGCAGAAATTTTTCAGAAATAGTTCGGACCTTTGAGTAACTTTAAAGATATGTAAGTGTAAGTTCCGATAAATTAAAGACAGTTTCATTCACTGCTGTTAAAATTCGACAGCCCGGGAATTTCAGCAAAGTCCAGAGAACTCCAGTAAACTTAAGGAAACATCTGAAATATTTTGGAAACTTCACAAGTCCAAAGAACTGCATAGAAATTTAATGGTTTTCAGGACACTTCCATTTGTTTCAGGAGAATTGAGATAACTTTAGGGAAGCTCTGAGAACATCAGGACATATCAATTCATGAAAATTTCTGATCCTTCAAAGGAGTTCGGAGAAGCTCAGGGAATTTCTAAAAACTTCAGCAAGTTCCGAGAGGTTCATGAAAACTTTGTAAACTTCAAAACAGCCCCATCAACTTTTAGGAAAACTGCAAGAACTTTCAAGGAGTTCCAAGGAATTAAGGGATATTCCGAAGTGCAGTTCAGGAATACAATTGTGGGGTTTCAGGGATGTTTCATAAATATCAGGAATATTGCTGAATCATTTGTAAGAAACTTCAGGAAATGTTGCTAACATCGCCCAGAAATCTATATCTTCCAGTTTTTTTTTTCACAACTTCTCCTTGAAGTATCTTGTGACTGTTCTATAAGCCCTCTGGCCTCCGGTTTTTTCCATAAGTTTCTTCCAATGTACCTTAGGAAGTTTCTCCCAACGCCTCCAAAAAGTTTCTTCTACAGGAAGTTCTCTCAGAAGTTTCTTTCGTTCTCTTGAAGTTTCTCCATAAGTCAGGGAATGTAGACTTCTATTGAAAGGTTTTTCTGAGCTTCTTATGACTTCCCCTGGAATTGCCTTCCAATTGCCAAAACTTTTCTGGTTTCCTCTGGGTGTGTTATCTGATTTTTTCCGAAAGTTTCTAAAGTTTTCGCCAGAAGTTTCTCAATATTATTCTCGGAAGATCCTCATCAGATGTTTTTCAGACATTTCTTAGAATGTCCTGCAATCTTCCATCACAAGATCTTCTTTATTCTTTCTCTGGATTTTTTTTTCGGTATCATTAAGAGACTAATTAAAATATTCCCGGAAATTTCTTCTGACTTACTACTTCATTGTTAGCTCAAAAGTTTGAATTTTTGCCTACAAAGAGGCAAAAATATAAAATTTATTAAAATAGTGAATGCCGATAAATACCGATTTTTTAAACTTTTGATACCGATAAGCTTGAAAACATTCTGGCAACGCTGGCTGAACTAGCAATGCAGCTAGTTAAATTCACAAATTGACAATCGGAAATCTATGAAAAACAGTGCGGGACTATTTTAACCCAGTGGTGCGTTTTAAACCATCCTACTCTATTTAGTTTGTGTGGGCTTGTTTTAATTTTTAAGCCCAAACGTAAAGTGGGCGGAAGCGGAACGGAAACGGCAAGCTTGAAAGCTGTCACAAATGACATCAAGATGCCTAACCGAAGTCGATTTGGTTCTAACCAGGGAATCAAGAAAATGCTATCTTCCGATGCTTACCGACGATAAAAATACTAGTTAACGGAATCATGATCAGTGTACAGTAAGATCATGGATTATCATTTGTGTTACACATCATGATCAGCAACAAAAACGATACTCTACTGATATGATAACAATCATTTTGTAATGTATCTCAAAATGTACGAACTTTCTGTCTTCGGGAAAGTTGTTCTAGAGGTCAAATACCTAATAAAGCGGATATTTTTGGAATAGGGATGACACATATATTTTGAAAATCGATGTAGGTCGCCATTTTGAAATCCGTCATCTCGGCCGTTGGTTTCGAAAAAAAAAACTGTCAAATACCATACAATATATGCGTATTTCTGGAACTGTAATAAAGTGTAGATGTAGAAAATTGATTTCAACCGCCATTTTGGAATTCAATTTGGCGGCCTTTGGTTTTAGTTAGAACTGACAAATAAACTAGTCAACATGGCGGCCGACATCACTTTTTGACATTTACACGTCATCCCGGTTTCTAAAATACCCACATTGTAGGGAAAATTTGTTTCTTAAATCAATAGCCGCCATCTTGGATTCCCAAATAGCAGCAGATATTAATTTTCTACATCTGCATGCCATCCCTGTTCCGAAAATACCCACATTGCAGGGTAATCTTGGATTTCCAAAATGGTGGCGGACATCAATTTTCGACAGTTTTTCTTAAATCGATGGCCACCATCTTGGATTTCATAATGGCGGCAAACATCGATTTTCGATCTCTATACGTCATCCTCGTTCCGAAAATTCACATATTATAGGGTATTTGATTAGCCTTGTCTTAAATGGTGAATTTTCAGTGACGACAGCTGATGATGATGATCTGAGATTATCGCTATTTCATATGATCATGATCTGTTACACAAATGATAATCGCATTATCGTTTCCAGAACTGTCCATTGTGATTTATGGATTTGTACGGCAGCCCTACTTACTCGGGTTGCTCCTTAAATGATTGATCAAAATGCGTTAAAAATCTTAAAATGCTCAGTAAATATTTAAAGTACGCTCCCTAAAATAAAGAAAACTGTACATTAAGGGGGTATTCCCGATCTTTTTTTTTCAAAAAATCAAATTTTTTTTTCACGTTTTTTTTGTACTTTAGACTATATACTTTCATCCCCCCAAGCCGTTTTCCGATCAGCGAATTCGGTGTCCAGGCATAGCTGACTAATGGTAAGAACCCACAAATGGTTTTAACTAAAGTCAAAACTTTAAACGCGTTTTTCTCGAAACCACATTTTTTTTATCGGGCGAAGATTTTTCTCAGAAACTATAAGAGATATTGACTTGAATCTTTGCGCATTTTGTTCCTTATTAAATTCTTTGGAGCTTCTCCCACTTTCAGCCAAAAATATTAACATTTAACATTGTTTGAAGCACCTTAAAGCTGCAAAAAAGCGGGCTAAAAATCGCCTGTTTTTTCATATGGCCGCCATTTTGTTAATTTGCAAGATTTTTTGCTGCCAACGGGAGAAGCTCCAGAGAATCTTATGCAGATTATTAATTTCATCACGAAATCTGTTTCAGATGAAGCCCTTCCAGAGAAAAGTCTTCGCCCGTCCAGGCGTTTGCGGCGAACAGGGGTCTGTTTGCCGCCATTTTGTGACGTCAATAATGTCTTTTTTTATGTCGAAAAAAATTTATTTGTAAACTTTAATGTTCAATAAACAAGAATCCCAAAGAGTTAGGCGCATTACTATTCATTTTCCTTGAAAAAAAAATAATTGAAAAACAGGCCGAAAAAAGGCAAAAGATTGGGAATACCCCCTTAAGCATTTCAAAATGCTCCTTGGTATGCACCGCTTTGCAACATTATGAAGTGTAATTGTACCATATATCATCGGAAAAGCTGCTGTAGAAAGGTTAATAAGTACCATGAAATCAGCTGAAATGTTCAGTAAAAATGCACAAATGCACACAATGATTTACTGAACATTTCAGCTGATTTCATGGTACTTATTAACCTTTCTACAGCAGCTTTTCCGATGATATATGGTACAATTACACTTCAAAATGGTGCAAAGCGGTGCATACTAAGGAGCATTTTCAAATGCTTAATGTACAGTTTTCTCTATTTTAGGGAGCGTACTTTAAATATTTACTGAGCATTTTAAGATTTATAACGTATTTTGATCAAACATTTAAGGAGCAAACCGATCTATTTTAAGGAGATTTTTTTTACTTATTAAGGAACATCGTCATTGTTTAATGATTCATTTACCTTTTTACCGATT